GTACCAGGAGTATCATAAATGCAATGCCGGCCTTTAAGACCTGCTCGCAAAAACCCTGACAATCTAGACAGACCTGATGGTACTCGGCCAGGTCGACGGGAGAAGATTACGCGGTTGCTCACCTACCCGCTGGTCAGACTTAGTAAAGTCGCTCACTGGCCAATCGTTAACCAGGGCTATAAAGACTGCCGAGGATAGAAATATGTGGAGAAGGATAGTGAATCGGGTGGTCAACATTTTAAGTTAGACACGACCTTCAATAATGAAGATAGTGACTAGGAAGAAAGCCTTTACGGAAGGAGTATGCCCTTTTTGAAGGTTTTTGGGGTCGTATTGGTCCTGAAACACTGCTGGTGATAATGCAATCCACAGTTTTGTCATCATCATCAGCTTATTAATGTCCCCTCTGCTGGGGCACAGGCCATCCCTGTGGATGGAATAAAGAAAATTGGGCCGTGACCAACCCCGCGGACCCAATGCAGATTGGTTGGTGCTAACGACTGCAGATGCAGCCGGGACCAACGGCTTAACGTGCCTTCCGAAGCACGGAGGAGCTCGAAATAGACCTCTAATAGAAGTTAATCTCGAAGTTGGAACTAAACGATTATTTCAATATTTCTCTTCCTGAATGTTCTTACTTCCGTATTCGTTATCAAGTTGACACACGCAATCCCACCATCGACTTGAGGACTGAATGCACAAATCACAACCTAGTTTCCTAGCATTCCGATAATTCGCTGATTCCACTGCTTTCGCTGTTTAAGGTGACTTTTCAAAATTGGTTTACTTTTCAGTGTGGTGTTTTATTTTAGATATTCAAAAATAGTTCTCTTACTTTTAATTTTGAGGACCTCTGTAGCCAAGTGGTGGACCCATTTAGTCTACGTTATGTAACTTTCTCAATGGCCGGTCTTATAGGCCCGTATTACAGAAAGATTCTCAGTAATTAATCTTGTCTTGAGCACAGTTGAAAGGGATGCCGCTATATATAGCACATAGCGACATCCCTTTCTAACTGTACTCAAGTAAAGATCAACACTTAGTTTTCATTTTGTAATACGGGCCATAGAGTCAAATCAAAATCATATTTATTGCAAATATATGTTACAAAGTTAAAATACAAATACATTTTAGAACAGTACAGCTATATTCCGCCTCATCGGCATGTAATAATATTTGTATAAATAATTTATTATTTTATTATCAAATTAATACATATTACATAGTTTATTTAAAATGTCAATGTATGATAAATTTAAGATTGTATTTCATGCATGTCAATTTTTCTATAGTCTAAGAACTTTTGTCCTCCAAAAATTCAGGGACCGTGTAGTATTTGTCTACTTAAAATTTTGTAATTTGTTTTTAAATATATTGTTCACGGTTACTATAAACAAAAGAAGCATTGCAAAACACACATTTCTTAAATAGTGTCGTATTATAGGGGACTGCGCAAAGTTTTACAATATGACGTCCACGAGTTCTGGCCTTAAATAATTTTATATTACTTTTAACAAACAGCACATTAAAAATGTAAACGCATGGCAGTTTATATTTATAACCCCCTAAAAACGGTGCACATGATTCTGTGGGTGGTAGATTATACATGGATCTGATGCATCTCTTTTGCGCCCTGAATGCAGTGATTACGTCTGTAGAATTTCCCCAAAAGATCATCCTTATCGTAATGTCGGCGCTACTTTCCCATAATATGCTGTCAACAAAGTCGACTCATTAGCCACTTTCCGCAAATTAAATAAAAAATAGGAAAATTGACATGATATTTCCATTTTAGTCTAGCGTCTATGAGTAGCCCTAAGAATTTTGTCACTTCAGAGTGACATTATAAATGTAAAAATCTTCTTAATTGATATATATATATAGTGTGGTGTTTTATTTTAGATATTCAAAAATAGTTCTCTTACTTTTAATTTTGAGGACCTCTGTAGCCAAGTGGTGGACCCATTTAGTCTACGTTATGTAACTTTCTCAATGGCCGGTCTTATAGGCCCGTATTACAGAAAGATTCTCAGTAATTAATCTTGTCTTGACATATATATATATATATATATATAAATTACGCGTCACGTTGTTTGTCCGACATGGACTCCTAAACTAGTTAACCGATTTTAATCAAATTTGCACACTGTATGCAGTTTGATCCACTTCAAAGGTAGAATAGTAGTAGCTTTCATTTCAATTTATAGTCGCAATATTATTTTATTGCAAATTATTACTTTTGGGCGGTACAAAGTTCACCGTGTTAGCTAGTTAACTTAATTATATAGCTCGTGCGAAAGCCACATTAAGTATGTCAACATGGGCCTAGCTGCATCTGTATCAGCTGCTGTTATTAGCACTTAGCACCCACAAAATTTTATTAGGCCCACAGGATGGTTTAAGCGTTTTCTTCCCAATTCTGTCCGCTCTTTCCAAGCATAACAACACTTCAACAATGCCACATTTGGCGGTGACTGGTATTTTCTAATGCATGGGAAAGGCTTCAAGCCTTTACCATACGGAGGTGCGAAGGTGTAAAGCGAGCGTATGTTAGAATCCTCTCCTCTTGTTTTTTCCAGCTCAAAGGCTAGACGTGTGTGACGAGAGTGTAGATATGCCCTGGGCATGTCACTGCTCCGCAGGCAGTGCCCTAGAGTATCAAGGGCACCATCAAGGCCAAATTTTATCTCAATCGGTGGAGCTGCTGCTTTAAAATTCATTTCCATGAATAGACCCAAACTAACGTAACCTTTTAATTATCATGGATTGAATGTATCACTCGTACAAAACATATCTGGTGGTGCTTTTTAATCCTTCTGTCACTCTCAGTTCTGAATTATGCTCCCCTAATAATATTTTAAATGTGAAAGTTTGTATGTTTGTTACTGAATCACATTCAAATTTGGTAGACATGTAGTTAATGACCTGGATTGAGATTAAGGATACTTTTTATCCCGTAAAAATGTTAGGTGCCTGTGGGAAACTCAAAAAACTAAAGTTAACGCCAACGAAGTCGCGGGCAGTAGCTAGTGAAATCATAATGTTCTGGGAATTAATAATATCTACACGTTTATATTCTATTTTATAAGAAATACGGGATTTCGTTTGCTTAAAATATTATGTTTTACTGAGTTAACGATTATTTAGAAAACAATGTTTTCGTAAATAAGATAAGACGACATTAAGCTGTTACTTAGTCTCAGTTGATGTTGTAAGACTTTATTTTCTTTACGCAATAGACAAAAGGTAGTTACTTAGGTAAAGAGAAAACAAAATGTTTAGTTTATTTATTTTAGCTACAAAACATGACCTACATAATTATCTTTGTCTACGAATTTACAAAATATTCTCTTTACAAAATGAGTTAATTAAGGGTAACAATAGAGTAACAGAGCAACACCAAGAATGCTATAAACTCAAGTACACAAAAATATAAAATATGCCAAAACGTCAACGTTGCATGTTACATGGGACGTCACAAAATGGCAAGCGCCTACATCGAAGGTTCACATTGGACCGAACATGCAAATAGGCTTTCGGGTGAACTTCTGTCCACACGCCAGTATCGGATATCGAATGTCCATTATCCGATACTGAGCTGTAGAGCGATTCTTTATTCAAAGCATTTAAAAAATATCAGGATATTTGTTTGATAAAAATAAATATACAAAAAAGATAAGTTTAAAAAAGAACACCATGTAATGACGGGTACTTTAAAAAATACCGGATGATTGTTAAGTATTTTATTAGAAACCTGTTCAAAATATCAAATTTGTAAAGTAAAGAAAAAACAAAGCTCTATTATGGTAATTTGTAAAAATATTGAAAGCTTCAAAATTATAACGCGGTGACTGTAATTCTTACTAATGTTTACTATAATGAATAAATAAAAATATTGATAAATATGTAAGCTATGTAAAAGAAAATTTTCATTCAATTCACAATTCAACAGAGCTGTTTGAAGTAAAAATTCTCTTACACTTAACACAACATGTACCCAATCAAATGTAAAGTGAATCGTTGAGAATGTATTGAATAATTGAAGCCTTTGTTCACTGGATAAATAATTAAGTTAGAAAGTTGTGATGAAACCCTCAATCTGATACAAAATAAATGTAATAGCTATGCTAATGGTAGCCAAATGGCACGCTGTAAACGTTTCATACCAATTCCAATCTGGTGTTAATTTTTTATTTAGCCACTAAGACGTAAAACGGGAGAGCCCCATAAAATTCAAGAGGAAATTCTTGTTAATTGCGGCATTATAAAGTATCTCAATTTTTTTGTGATAATGACACACGTATTATATTATATGAGAGAAATTAAGGTTCGTGTTGCTTTGCTACAGTTATTTAGATTTTTTCAAATGTATTCGTTATGAAAATTTAATTATTAAGGTCCTTACCTATATGTTTACTCCTAAGTATATTAACGGACTTTAGGTTCATTGTAGAACATCGAATCTTTTGTTTGCTGTTCACTCCTTAAAAAGACTTTGAACTTCATAAATAAATGATGACAGATATGATGAATGGTTGACCGGCGACTATTCTTTAATGGTCAAGAAAGATTACTTACTGTTTCTGAACTCATATATATGTATATAAACAACCTGTCATTTATCTAGCAACACGATAGAGGTAATATTGTTTAACTAATCAAAAAATCACCAAACTTCACGGTCTATTGACGTATCATTGAGATTAATGGAAGTTTCTGTCGGAACGAGGATTAATATTCACGGTTTAGGAAGCAACACAAAGCCTACATGGAAAGGGTATTAAACAGTGGCTCCAATAAACGGCCCAATAAGTTATGTAAAGTGCGGGTGCATCGGGTTACATTACAACCCCTACATGAGGTCGGACGCATGCGTGCAGTTCACCGCGCACGGCATATGCGGAATATTAAAGGAGGAAAGAGAAAAAAATTAACTTGTGAAGCCATTTTCGTCTATCGGCCCCCTCGCTACTCGCTACGGGCTTCGGACAGAGAGCGGCGCGCTATCGTACTGAACGAACGCCCAGTCGCGCCCGACCCGACACTCCGTCGCGCGATCCCTAACCGGTCGAGCCACTTCGAGTGATTATTCCTTGTGCGACCATAATAATTGTGAAGTGCCATACGACCATAGACTACTTCGGCCAAACTTAACGAACTGACAAAGCCAGTGCCATAAACTTTTTGAGTGCAGTGCAAGTTTTCTGAAAGTTGATCCTATTCTACTGTGTGATTCAGTTTTGTAAAGTGAACACTGAGATCTGATATTAATTTTAGTGTGACGTATTGAATCGAGTTCTTGAATTTTGCTATTGCCCTCGGAAGCTGTTCATCATATTTATATTTTATGGAAAGTTAAAACTTTTCTTACTAACTTTGCAAAAGGAGAACTCTGCAAGTTGACAACTCATGACAACGAATTAACAGGTACCTAATTGTTTACATTACACATTAGTTATACTTTTATTTAAGGTGCTGATGCTGATTGACAAAATGTATAGAAATATAATGTTTGTGTCCCGTTGACTTGTAATACGAATTCATGTAAGTATATGTTAATTTTAGAACATTTAACATATTTATTAGACATTTGCGGAGAGTTCGAAAGAAACTAGTTACCATTTTCGATGGTACAAATATACGCATTTTCCCAGAAATTATTTGTAACCTTTCCACCTGCCTCTTATATCAGCTGTCCCTAAACCAGCTTAAATATCAAATTCCAAACAAGACGTCCGTTGTGCATCAATTAAGATAGCTCTTATCTACTCGGCGTTTTAAAGGATGGGGCGTGCGTTTCCATTAGTGCTCACATTGAAATTATAATCCAAGAATTGCAGTAAATCAAACTTTTTATTTACGACCGAACAACTCCAGGTTTGAGTGCACTCTAAAATAGACAAGTATAATAAAAATCCATAGCACGCCAATAAATTATCGGAAGACGTTCTTTTTATTGGAGTAACGAATGGTGAGATGAGTAATGGGGCAACTTTGGCCTATAAATCATGCTTTCCCTGAGTGTGAGAAGCTCCAGTGCTTGCGATGGCAGGGAAGTTGGATGTGATCCCCTTTGCCAGTTTTTCTGATATACTTATCACAAGTCTGCAATCGCAGCCGAAAAATAGCGGACTGTAGATATTATTACGCCGTAATGCCCGATAGTTTTCCCTTGACCGGAAGTTTTGATGAACGCTTCGATATTATTGTAGGATAATATTTGAAAATTGTTAACATTACATATTTCTTGGGTGATAAAGTGTTATTTTCTTATGAAAAATAACGATAGATAGCAACTTTCTGATGTATAAAAGCTTCAAGTTCTTGGTTGTTTTGTCTGCTAGTATTACATTTTGGCGTCTCCGAACAAGAATTCTGTAGTTTTGTAGGCACTTGTGCTTTTATCAGTTGCGGGCTAAAACTGTTCTCATGTTCCGACCTTTTGTATGGGTATAAAATTAAATTTTTATCTTTTCTTAGAAGTTTCGCCGGCGGTGTGGTAATGGAGTTTTGTTGGAAACTAGAGGTTATCGCATTTTATTTCGTGACTAAGAGATCGCCGTAAACGCCGTCGTATAATGGAAGTTGAATATTGTTGAATCTCAACGAATTAAGTTTCCCTTATAGCTTTTAAAATGTGCTGTGTTCTTTAATGTGATATTGTGGGACCCAACTTTAGTGGCAATTAAATTCATCATGGGTCAATTTGTTATACTCCGCATGTCTGAGAATATACAAACACATTGAATAAATTAAAACGTTGTAAAATTTACAACCATGACAACTACATAAAACTCGTCTTTGAATTTAAAAAAGAATGAAAAAGCTACGCTTATTTCTCATGCTCCCCGAATAATGAAACCTATAATTTGAGTGAAAAAAAAAAGACTTTAAAACAAAAAAGGATATGTCGCCACCGCCCAAACAACTGATACGGCGATTAATTTCAGTGGAGGGTGTGAGGCGAGGCAATCAATTGGCCGGCGGTTGGAGCTCGTCAAGAAAATAGACGTGCTAAATAGGCCAACAACCGATGGTCCGTGAAATGACGTGTCTGTGAACCGATCGCATTTGATGAACTATTGTTTACGACCATAACGTTGGGCGAACTGATTCGATCCGCTCTTCGGCTCTCTATAGGCGCCGAACTTAAGGACTATACGAAACTCATCTGGGAATCCTCCTTTTCAGTTGATATCAAACGTTTCGCTACAGCCAAAGGCTTCCCTATAAATAGAATAGAATAGAATAGAATAGAATAGAATATAATTTTATTAACCCAGATATTACACATTACAGATACAAATAAAAAAATAAAAAACCTAAGGGCTAACCAGGACCCTGCCTCAGCATTAGCTGATGCGACATTGTGTCGCACCAGCGCTGTTATTCTGGCAGGGCCTGTTTAGTGACACAAAAAAACACGACATGTAAAAAAAATAAATTTTATTACTTGAAAGGATGTTTGGACTTATCATCCTTTGCTTTCAAGTAACAAAAATTAAAATAAAAAATCAATCAAAAACAACATTTTAGCAGCAAGCAAAGCAATGCAAAACAAAGCGAAGCAATTCATTTCAGCCTAAAAAATCATTTAAATTCAAAATATACATGATAGCATAAGCATATAGCAATAAGCATAAGTTATGTACTGTTATTCAGAAACAGGACATACTAGTGTCAAAAAGTATAAGGCCAAATCATGCTACGGACAATTTGCATCAATGCTGTGAAGCAGCTCCTCTCCGTCTTTATTCCGCAAAAGAAATCAAGGTACATATTACTTAGAAGTTACGCTATAATTGATTGTTCATTTAATAGATGCTTTTTAAGATGTTTTCTAAAAGTGTTAATATGTTTTAGATCGCGCACTGGAGGAAGGAGAACGTTCCAACACTGTGAAGCTGCAAACCTAAATAGATTTATTTCGAACCGATAAAGCTAAGCCTTTCGATGTTTGTTAATATATATTCAACTGCGTGCTTATAATTTATTCACATTTGTAGAAATTGGGATTCGTTGTGTATATCTCCTATAATTTTACACTTTTACTAACAAGGTTACACTCTAGATCGCCAATGTTATTGAAATATAACTTAAATAGTAGCTGTAAGCCATAACATAATTATATGGACTACGAATACTTTATTTTTCTCCTTTATTTATTTCATAATGTAGAAATTCTATTTAGGTTAGGTACTCAATTGTACGGTCGTTGACGAAACATGGTTATGTGGACATCATTAAGTGAACGCAATGGGGTCTTTTCATAATATTATGATAAATTAAAGTAATGGCTATCGACCATTCCTTTATTACTTAGCAAGCTTACGACGGCGTCGTCTCGAGTATCGAATGTATTTGAATTATCGATTAAAGGGGCATTCCCACGTTGCCGGAAGCCAGTACTGGATGGACGCGCTTCGGTACTTTGCCCTTTTACTGTTGTCCCTTTGTATTCAATTCCACCCAAAAAACGGGTTCTCTCCACCATGAGCCTAGTTTACCCCGCTTAATTCGTATTGCATCATTCGTTCCACACCATTTTCCTATTTTTTGCGTTAGATCGATCGCTTCGGTGGTCCCCTTGGTACGCGCGCCTTGAACGAGATAGATAAAAAAAGTTTATAGGTATACCAATTTCCTAAACTGCTCCAACTTTAACTGTTTTCCATAGTCTGGTATATTTATATATTTTAATTATTTTAAGTACTATTCTTGTTGAATTAAATTGTAATTTGGGTAAAGATGATTACTAAAACACCATTACTTTTCAAAATGAATTTAACTATATTATATAAGAAGTATATGTATTATTAAAAATATTGTATTAGGAAGTCAATTACAGCTCTGATGTTGGAATTAAAAAAAAACAACGCAGATTCATCACAAATAGTATGATAAGACCTTTTTATATATCAGTGCATTTAAACACATCATTACAGCATATTACATTATAATAATTATTCATGATTTCTATTATTCTAAATAACAAATAAATTATATAATAACTACTGCAATCAATATTAAAAAGGCTATAATACCATTAATTATGTTATTAATGATTCAATATATTCTGCTTTAACTATCCAATGGCATTAATATCCTTCTGCATAGTCGTCGTTAATAGCTTCAATCTAGCTGCTACAGGGTTCAAGAGTACGAAGACAAGAAACACTAGTGAAATTTGCATTCCCGCTTCACTTCAACACAGTCAACATAGACCAGACCACCCGCGACGCCTCGGGCAATCAAGTAAATATCAACTTTATTGCATTTACACAGAACACGGAATCGATCCTGTCTACAACTCCCGTTGCACTTATCGTTTGCAATAAGGCGTTCTGCAATCTAGTCGCTTCATACACGTAGCTTTCGATAGTTATACAGTGAGTATTATTGTATCCATTATCCTGTTCCTCTCTCACAAACACCAGTCAAAACAAAGAGATATATTCAATTTGCGGTGTGATAATTCTCCACTGTGAGCGACCTTCTTTTAATCTCAGTTTGAGATCTCAAATACAGCTGCAACATTCGAATCTCATTAGCGAGCGAAACAAGAGAAAAAAGCTTAGTGTAATAAATTTTAGCAAGAGCCGAGCCGAAACGTTTGTAGTTGCTTTTAATTTGGTTGCCATTGTCGAGGCGTCCCGCTGAGCGAGTTTGTTGGATTTCTTGCTAGAATTCCAGCTGTTTCAAGCATTACTTACTTCTTATTAGTCGATTAAGCATAGAAATTGAGAATTGGACGGAAAATATTTGTTAAGTTTATGTATATCAGTATAAATTAGGGAGCCCATTGTTTTATGGCTTTCGATATTAGTTTTAATATTAGTACCTATCCAAATTTAAATCTCACATTAATAGCTTGAAATTATATGCGGCTCACAAGATAAACAAAGAATATCGAAATGCTGTGGTTTTACAATGAAGATTAAATACCAAAGTGGTGATATAAATTGATTATTATTCGATTCTGATCGAGATTATGACTGTATAGATTTGGCAGCTAAAATTTCATCCAAATCAATTCAGTAGTCTTGGTTTACATAATTTTACGGCAGCCGAGTAAACTATAGTTTGAAAGACGTGAGTAAACAAGAAGTAAAATATATTGGCAGATAATGTGTTTTGAAAGGTGCAACACACTAGGAATAAAGTGCGGCAGATGCAAAGGCTCGCATTGCGCGAACGATATCATAAATCAAGTGGATTTTGTGTCGGCGTTAAGTCCAATAGCTACCTCTCGAGGCGATTTCGAAGAAGCCGTGTTTATTTTAAATGATTGAAGCGATTCTATGGGATCCGCTCAAGATCCCGGCGAATGTGAGATGGATGACTTGCACTTCTGTGTCCTGTGGGCCGCGCATCGTTGAATCTACGCCGATAAAATTAATAGTAGCCCTGCCTATATCGATCGCATC